AAAAACTTAAAGTCTATGGTTCCATAAACCTTCGAAAAAATTAAACTTTGAAGTTTACGTAAAATAGATACATACTCACTTACGGCCGCGGCCGTTTATGTTCCGTGCCAATTGCGTACCTGTAAATCTTTACTGAACCATCGGTGGGTGGGTTCGACTCGCACTTGTCCGGTTTTTTTGAAGGATCACAATGCTGCTTAGTGGTACTATTAAAACCAACATAATACAGGTCTTATTGCACGTTGCATTGTAGGTTTATCTCATCTTTTGCTTTTTTCTTGTTTTTAAGAAAAACAAACTTTTTGAATTTTCAGCCTTCTTAGTTGAAATAAATATATTCTTTAAAATACATTTTTATTAAGATTAACATGGAAACCCTAAGCGTGTGGTCGAAATTGATGGGCAACACAGATTGTTACCAGTTCTGCCGCTAGCGTTGTTCAAGTATTTAATGCTTGAATGCAAGGTCCGAACCTTTCCACCGGACCGTTGGCAATATTAATTGAATAGCTCAGATAATTGAGCAGCTATTATTTAAATCTCTTTTTGTGCTTCAGGCAACCTCAACGGATGTCACGGTTATGTATTGGTTGAGAGTTGATGGTATATTTTATGTTCTACTGTTTTTTTGTTCTTAATAATTGGCAAAGTCGAGACACTTACCTTATTTCTAAAAGCATAAATTTTAATGAACATAAAGTACCTACATTTCATAATCTGCTTTATTTGACGGAAATAATATTCGTTTCTCTGTTAGTTTCTCTGGTGCCTATTTCTTCACAACACAATAAACAAAATTCAAATACATATTTCTTCGACGTGAAATTTTGTTGTATCGGATCCTCAGTTCGATTGTTAGTACCCATACCATGACCCGTTTAATCGCACAATACGTAGCAGAGCAGCTACATACTGAAACGGGTCTACAATGGACGGCCTCGCGTCTCGCTGCACCGCGCACGCCGCAAGGGCGCGGCCTTGCGATGACACTCGCTGACTCGCTGAATGCACTCTAGGTGGCACCACGACCCGTGTCATCTGTGTAGGGCTGTATTGTGTATGAGAAAATGAGACAACCCTCAGACCTACAGCTCTTGCGATGACACTCGCTGACTCTTTGAATGCGTATCTACTATATGACTGCTAACCATACTTATAGATAACACCACTGGTGCCACGAGTCATCTGTAGGCTGTAGGGATGCCTAACCTTTTATGAATCCGAGACATTTTACAATATTACTCAGACACGTCAAATTACTTTAATCATTAAGTTACGTGTAGCCTAATCCTGTTGATAAAGCAAAAAAATGCGTAGAACACTTTCTATGCACTTTTTATTCATTTTATTTCATTTTGAATCCCCTGAGTGCGGCCGTTACATATTAGCAGGAGCTATAATTTAAATTAAGATAAGCTCTCACTAGGTGTTTCGTTTTTACGATACTGGGACTCGTTCAATCAATCCTATCTGTAAAATAACACCCCGTGAGATATTTTCTAAAATACTTACTTAAACTTTCGGCCTATAGATTTCGGATTGATCTCAAACCTCCAACATATTTTTAGATTTGACACGTGTATGTATTTTGTTTTTTGAAACTGTAAGTATTTGTTTCAATAACTTTTGATATTTCAAATCTGCCTAGAGTCGAGACCGACTTAAAAAATGTAGAAGTGATCTTTGCAAATAAATTAACGTAGAGTACCGTTAAACTTTAAACTAAGGAATACTATCAAGATAATATTTTAATTGTACAACGAAATTAAGCTCCGATATCCGATTTTTAACAGATTTTTGGTGTTGCTTGTTTGAGTATGTTTTCTACAAACGATTATTTTTTCTACAGTAGGTCATACCCTATAGTATTATTCTACAATGAGAAGTGTGAGCAATGAATCGGATCCACAATGGATGACCTCCAATGCACGCGATGATCCAGATTACGTTCAAGTAACGCCCTTGAAAAGGTTTCATGCTCTATCTTGAATGTAAGATAAAGCATTTTCAAAAGAATCCATCCTTCAATGATAAAGGTTTTAAATATTTGCTGTTTCTTATATGCATATTTATATTTTTCAAATTGGCGTCAGGAATTTATTTTATAGTTAACGGATTTTGTAACTGATGTAGATTTAAGTTAAAAGTTGTAGTTGGTTATTAAGTATGGTGAAGTTTATTATAAAGTGTAAAAGAAATAATTTGTTCTTTTCGGAAATTAAACACAAGCATTCCACCTTTATTCTAATTACAAATGTTTTTAGGTATCTAATAATTTGGACAATCCAATGTACATACAATTACACAAAGGAACATTGAATAAATATTCATAATATATTAAAATTTAACTCCTTAATATCCCAAGGAAATGAGGTAGGCACTCTATTTCAAGGCGCTAGGGACGTGATCAACTGTAGCAAAATCACACGTTACTTTTGCATGCAAATTTCCATTTAAATTCTGCCATTTAATTAAATTTCATTATTTCTTTTAAACAACACATTATTAGGTTTCAGATTATTTCCATGTTTCGTAGGCTGGCATAGGAAACAATTAAGTACCGTTTTATCTCATTGTGTAGGAAGTTTAAAGTTTTATTTGAGACTGTCTTCTTATAAAGTTAAGTTGCCGTAAGTGTATAAGTACAGAATTATTTTTAACGTTTATTAATTCACACATTTATGAAACGTCGACATTAAATATTATACTTACTTAATAATATAATTAAAGTGATATACTATGATGAATGAATACCTAAAAAAGCTATAAACAATCCAATTCACTACACGATAAAAACTTACTTTGTTATTGTTCAGATTAATTAATACAATTGTGGAAGCCCCGTTAATTACAAAACGCTATTCATTATAACTTTTTTGTTATGTTTGCCGCGGTCAGGCTGAGATTGATCAATCAATCAGCCGAAGTGATGTTTTCCGCTGACTTGCAGACGGATACCACGGTGCGATAATGTCGACTCGTGACATCACTATAATATAATAGATCACTGCGGTATACAACAATTTGTCACTTCTATATAATTAATTTTGTAGGTAGTGGTTGTACTGTGGCAACTCTTTTGGATCTTTATCATTACGAGAATAAAGTTTGTTCTTTTTTTAAACGAACATTTTCAACTCCATGTGTTTAGTAATAAATAACATGTTACAAATTGTCTGGCAAAAGTTTGTCTTCTGAGAAGAGGCTTTAACGGCTGAGAATCAAAGATCGGACGCGCATGTAGGCAGGTAATAAGAATAAAACGCCTGCAATTGAGAGAAAAAAAAATGTTGATAGAAATCGCTTATGATGTTATGTTCTGTCGACAAGGATAACATCTAATATTCAATTAAATCTTTACATATTTTGTTTTTCATCTAGAAACAAACTGGTTAAGCGATCAAAGAATGTTGTTTTTGCCTACGCTAGTACTTACCTACACCTAATTAAGATGTCACTCTAAAAACTTACATAAGAGCCGGCCACGTTCGAGTCAGACTTGCATATAAGAGAGGCAGGGCACAGAGAATTTCCCGCTCGAATTGGAGCATCTGGGAAAGCAACCACCACCCTACAGAAGTTCACAGTAAAATAACACTACCTTTTTTGGTGCCTCTTGTGTTTCTGCTGGGTTTTTTTTTTGAGTGTGTATGCTGTTGGTCGCATGACCTTTACAGCGTTACCGGGTTTGGGGACGGCGAGATCCTAAGGGGACCTCAAGCCGAGAATTGGGGAGTGCCTCTGGAGGTATTCCAGGCGGATGGCGTCTCCCCACGGGGGGAGTCTCTTCTCCGTCTGGAGCCTCCAGACCACTCGAACCTAAGGGGGTCGGCTTAACTAGAGGGCGTCTCTGAGACTCGAACCTCGGCTCGGTGTTTGGAGTAGGGTTTTAGGGTTCCGCGGGGTACGGAATTGGGTTCAGTCAGGCTAGCAAGGTGAAGATGGCTGGAGCGGCACACCTTCTGCCGCATCATCTATATTCGTGACTGTCCTCTACTTACACGTAACATCTAGTGGAGTGGGGTAATATGTTACGCCTCACATAGTATAAAAAAATATTTTAAATACTTTCGTTTTTTATATTAGCGGAAGCCTGCGGCTTCGTACGCGTGGAGTTAGTTAGAAATAAAGGTTCACTGCTCGTTCCCCATAGGCGATAGCGCGATAATATGTAGCCTCTATGTTGACCCGACTTCTTAATAATATTCGTGCCAAATTTGAAATAAATCCATGCAGTACTTTTTGAGTTTATCCCGGACATACATACAGACAAACAGACAAAAATTCTAAAAACTATATTTTTGGCTTCGGTATCGATTGTAGATCACACCCCAAGTATTCTTTTAAAAATGAACAATGAAAAATGATTCAATGTACAGTTTTGACTTTCCTACCATTTTATTATATGTATAGATAATAATATGTATTGCATTGTTTTGAAAGTTTCACTAAGTACCTGATTTTCCTTTTTCTCCGTTGGGATTCTAAGCAATCGCACTCGCATACAATATGATTACTTAATGGCTTATTATTATTTACAATGCCTTTAGTAATACTATATTGCAGACTTCCTGGTCATGTGTTTAGGACTGCTAAGGTATAATTTTGGGTTTGAATTGTTAGAATACTGAATTATATAAGTGTATATAGTTTTTTTTACTTTATAATGGTTTGGTAAATACTAACAACTTAACTTTCATAAGCTTTATATAGGTACAAAGTTTTTGTTAAAATCAAACAACAAAGATTGAAAGCAAGCAAACATTGACGTCGCTCCTTACGGTCCCGACGGAAGTCGAGTGTATGAATAGAATACTCATTGAATTATTACAGTACCTCGTACCAAAACGCAATGTTAATCCAACCGATCATTAGTTATATTACAGGCAACTCTTCATTTTCCTTTAGTCAATTACGAACTAGTTGTTAGCTCACACGATTTCCCATTTTCATTACGAATAGCTTACCAATATTTGTAAACAAACCACTGGTAATTTCAGGTTGAGACAGTGTAAATAAATATTAGGAGTGATGAAACAGTGCAAGTACTTCAATAGACTTGAAGTTAGAATTGAGTAAAGTGTTCATGTGAAAATTCATTGCCAGGTTTAGCGATTTATGTATTTTCATGGTGACAGTTTTTGCGCTAAGTGACCATGGCACCATCAAGCGGCGGCCGCGTGTACTACTACGTTTTTTGTCAGACCCGTCTGAGCATGGCGATAGCAAGTTTAGGTTCTGCTACTCGGTAAGAGATGGCGCTGCACGCTTACTTTTGTCACAAGATGTTACAAACTGAACGATGTTTTTTTATATTAATCAAATTATATCACTCACATGTTATAGGTATGCGAAAATACAGTTATTTTATTTCTGTGGTTCTATTTGACTCAGCACTATTTTAAATGAAAGAAGATTGTTAAAACTTGTTTTTTTTTCGTTCACAGGCTGAACCCGGGGATACTATAGCAACTACCAAAGAAGGTAATTTTATTGTTTTAAATAAATTCTAAATATATTAGGTACTTGTAAAATACATATTTTATTATGTATGATTTCAAACCCAATATATTTGTAAATTTAAAATTCACAACAAAACCCAACATCACACGGTCTCTTCATCTTTACCAAAATCCATCATAAAAGGCTAAGCGGCTTTCGGATTTTTTACTAGTCACATTACTATGGACTGCGTTCAAAGTTTTAAGTAAGCGATGTTCTATGAAAGGCAAGAGAGATTGTCACGTATCTATCTAGGTACTTCTTCTTACTGCATCTTTGATCTTTACAGAAGAATGGGTGACCCGGAAGACGAGCGAAGTGACCACAACCCGGCAGATCGCGACCCGAGTCAAGAGGGAACTGGTACTCGAGGATGGCAAGATTCTCAAGGACTCGGGCCCTAAGATCTCCACCTCAGTCAACGAGGACACACACACCACCAACTTGCAGCAGACCGAGGTAAAAATATTGGCTAAAGATATGAAAATACTCCTATTTCACCAATACTTATTATATACAGGGTGTAAAAAACCTTTAACGAATCAACCTTGGTTCTACCATTCAAAAACGAAAATAAGGCCACATATTTTCCACATCATGACGATAATTTTTTTCTTCTGGACCATACCTGGGAAATTTATAGTTATGGATATATTGAAGATCAAAGTCAATTATTTTTCAAGATATTTTCGATATTAATATTTTCGACGCACTTACACACACACTCACACATACACACAGGCACATTCTTCGCGTAGCGACACAGTAGCGCGCCGCGCTATACATTGCATACTGGAAAAGCAAAAATTTTTTTTTAACTTAAAAATACATTTTTTTCCCACGTATAATATTTTGCAGTATTACAAAATGATAGCCACGGATCCTGTCTCGATTCCAGCTAGGAATACAAATGTGCTGAATAAGGAATCTAGGCTGAAATATATTTTGTGGATTGAGGAGGCAACATAAATAGGTTTAGTAACGAAAAAATTACGCGTAGGATGAGACGTCATACGATGAATACAGAACAACCCATTTACCAGGATCGAGTTGATTTTTTCCAAGTAGGTTTTTTTATATAGGTATACCTAACTAAATATCTAGCATTTTAATGCTTACTTATAAAAACGTAAAGAAAGTGAAAGAACTGGGTCCCATTATTGAGAGTAGGTATGATTAATAGATGACCGCACTTAACGATAAATTTGTTGTTTTTTGTTGTTTTAATTGACGAGACATCAAATAACTTTTAAGTTTGATCAAAATTGGTGTTGTCACCTTCTTTGTGATAATGGTAGAACAAGACAACACGAAACATAATGAAAGTCAAATCTAATTGTCGTGTCCGAGTTAGGCCGTAAGAGACTTGAAATCTAAAGCTTGTATTTATTAAAAAAAAAACTTAATACTTAATGCAATACATTGTCCAAGGGTGCTGGTTCGAATTCGACTAAGTATACTTGGACTAGAACTAAGTAGTTGAATTTTTGTAGTAAAAATGACAGATTTAATTAATTATCTAGCTAGCATAATACAAAATAAACAGTCCTTCCTTGTCTGGGAACTGAACTCGAGCTGCCCGGGTAGCAGGCGAGCTGTCTACCACTGACCACCTATGCTTATTGAAGGCCTGAATTTGTAATAAAAGTTTCACTTTAATATAATATTTAGGAGCATTGAGCATCATGGCGGACGGACTCTTTCGAGTTGCTCTATGTTCAGGTGTTAGAGGGGGATAGTTTATTAAATATAATAAGTATATGTATTGTGCCGTTGTACTGTGTGTTGAGGACAGCGTTGCCGGACGTCCCGATTTTTAAATAGAAAGAATCCCGTTTTATCATTCAAAATTTTCCTAAATCCCGACATGGCAAAAAAAAACTGGCAACACTGGTTGAGAAGCTCGATGGCGCGGGTGGTCAGCGCGTTAGGCTGCTATCGTTGAAGTTAAGCAACTTTCGCAGTGGTCGGTCATTGGATGGCTGGCCAAAAATCTTCTATCTCGAGTTCCTCCGTGCTTCGGAAGGCACGTTAAGCCGTTGGTCACGGCAGCATCTGCAGTCGTTAGCACCCGCCAATGGCACTGGGCCCGCGTGGTGAGTCATGACCCAATCTCCATCCATAGGGAAGGCCTCTACTTCAGCAGTGTGAACATTAATAGACTGATGATGATGATGATTGTGTGTTGCAGCATCGCGTTCCAGACGAACAACCCGCCGAGGATAACACGTCAGCTTTGCCAGCACGAGCGCGTGGAGTAATCGGCGCCCCAGCCGATGGTAATAAATACTCTTTTTTTTAAAAATGAATGAAATGAACGCGATGCAAATGAAAACATTTAAAATCATTTAGCGCACTAATATTATAAAGGCGAAAGTGTGCGAGTGTGTGAGTGTGTATGTTTGTTACTTCTTCACGTCTGAACGGCTGGAGCGATTTTAATAAAAAGTCTTATGGAGTTAGCTGTCACCCTGGATTAACACATAGGCTACGTGTTACTGCGGGAAAATATCCCTAATAAACCGTGGATAACATCACGGGGCACAGCTAGTGAAAAAAATAAGTACCTACCGCGCCACCCGCGTAGCACGCGAGTATTTTAACACTGAACCACAGATGTTTGTTGACAAGGTCTGAATTTTAAAATAACAATTGAAAATATAATTCGATATGCTAAAGATAAACAAAAATATTTGTGCCGACGTTTCAATAGTAAATTAACAAATAATTTGTTGGAGGATGCGGTATTTCATATTGTTATGGCCAGAAAAACCTCACGTTTATTTTTGCCTTTAAACATTGAGTTTAAATTTTTTGACTAAATCCTTATGTTGTTTACATATTTAATTTTTTATCTTATCAACATAGTACAGAATGAGCGTAAATCGTTTAATGTGGATTTCAATGCACAAAGAAAAAGTTTACAGACCTATTAGTAAAGTTTCAGGCACAGATCGCACAAAAAATCTAGTATCCCTTACTATATAATTTAAACAAGTGGGAATTTCCGATTTACTCAAGCGCTGCAGAATAACATAAGAAGGCAATTCCTATCATACCTGGAGGCCTACTCTATTCCAACGAAAAACGAAATTTCGATAGAAATTTCGCAAGTTCCTTACTCTGTTTCTATTTCATTTCGAAAATACGTTCGTCCGAAAATGGTTTGACATTTCAGTTCCCTAAGCCTACTCTAATTCACAATTCGAAATTTTAACCTCAAATTGACGAAATGAAAAGTGTTACCTTTTCATTTTCGTTTTGGGATTTTTGTTTAAATTAAACCTAAAATTACTACTAGAGTATTTTTAATTAAGACTGTTTAGCATGAGGAACATTTTTTAGTATGAAAAATTTACAAATAAATCAAATTTTTGTTTATTATTGTATTGCCAATACTTCAAAGTGTTACACGACAAATTTAGGTTGACATACATTCAATTGCATCAACTCTACAAATTAGTCGGCTAACACTGTCAAAAGAGGTTGTTTTAATGTAATCAAAAATGTTGTCATAAACTAATATTGTTTTGAAGTAAAAAACCTTATCTAAAAAGTGTAGACAAAAAGAACTCACTAACATAACTCATTCCATTCGTTCACGATAATTGTTTGTGATTCCGAACTTTATGTGCGTGTTCGAAGGTGAAATAGAGTAGAGTTACTGGCGAAATTTCGTCTAAAATTCGTTCGTTACCGAAATTTCGTTTCGGAGAAAGAGAGTAGAGCTCCTGAGCTCTTTATGTAAAGTCTATCGTCTAGGGCAGCAAAAAAAAAATATAACAATCGACCATGATTTCTAGTTGCGTCCAAATCGTCAGTCTTTTGAATAGGAGTTACTAAAAAGTCGATGACTCAGGTACGGTGGGGAGTACTTGAGGTGCAAGGTTGCTCCCCTTATGCTATTGACGACCTCCGTGGCCGAGTAGTTTGTACGCCGGGTTTCATGGTGTCGCCGACTCGAGAGGTCCCGGGTTCGAATCCCGGTGGGGTCAGATGTTTGTGTGATAAATACGAGCATTTGTACTCCAGCCATGGATGTTAAATATGTATTTCTATATAAATATAGTTATATATGTACAGTATATGTATTCTATCCGTTACCCCTAGTATCCCATAACACAAGCCCTACAGTGCTTAGTTTGGGGCTAGGCTAACTGGTGTGAGTATTGAAAATATTTATTTATTTATGTTAATCTGCCACGCTTGAGTATATCCAAAAATCCCTGCTTGGCCTCCGCTACTAACAGTCATAATCCGATATTTCAACAAAGTGTAAAAAGAAAGTCTTTAATGCTATTTTGTGACTAGGAAACATGCCAGCGGATATTCTCCGTTACTATTTTAGGTGACTTAACTTATTACCATTGTTTCAGAATAACAGTCATGATACAACCAACGCTAATGTAACTTAATTAATTTTGTAATTTAATTTTAAATATCCGTCTCAAAGTCTCGTATCCAAGAAAAGTGCTTCACGACATCAGTTTTTTTTATTATAAAATAATACAGTAAGGAACGAACCAATGAGTAATTAGTCATGTGGTACTTATTAATATTGCTTAAAGCAGCAGCGGATATTAAGTAGAATTGTAAAAGTTGTCTTACTTTTACAGAAACAGATGGCCTCCAACCACTAATAGGCGGGGTGGTGGCGCCGGCTGGTACCAAGGTGCTGGTGTCGTCTCGAGTGGTCGCCAACCCGGACGGGAAGGTGCGCGAGAGCAAGGACCTGAAGGTGCTCACCAGGAACGTGACGGATCACGTCCGGGAGACGGAGGAGCGGTTCCACAGAGGCGACACTACGCATGAGGTAAGTTATCTTCTAGTAGTTTGTCCATGATTTGTTACAGAAGAAGATGGTCTAAAGACCTTAAGGTGCAGTACTAGGAACGTGACGGATCACTTCCGGGAGACGGAGGAGAGGTTCCAAAGGGGCGACACTACTCATGAGGTAAGTTATCTTCTAGTAGTTTGACCATGATTAGTTACAGAAGAAGATGGTCTAAGGACCTGAAGGTGCTCACCAGGAATGTGACGGATCACGTCCGGGAGACGGAAGAGCGGTTCCACAGGGGCGACACTACGCATGAGGTAAGTTATCTTCTAGTAGTTTGACCATGATTAGTTACAGAACAAGATGGTCTAAGGACCTGAAGGTGCTCACCAGGATCGTGACGGATCACGTCTGGGAGACGGAGGACCGGTTCCACAGGGGCGACACTACGTATGAGGTAAGTTATCTTCTAGTAGTTTGACCATGATTAGTTACAGAAGAAGATGGTCTAAGGACCTGTAGGTGCTCTACTAGGAATGTGATGGATCACGTCAAGGCGACAAAGGAGTGGTTCCACTGAGGCGAAACTACGCGTGAGGCTAGTTATGTTGTAATAGTTCGTCCATCATTTGTTAAGGAAGCAGACGACATGCAACCAATAATAAGCTGGATAGTGGTGCCGGCCGATACCAAAGTTCTGGTGTTCTAGCGAGTGGTCACCAACTTTGACGAGAAGGTGCACGAGAGGAAGGACCTGAAAGTGCTCACCAGGAACGTGACGGAGCACGTCAGGAAGACAGAGAAGCGGTTCCCATCGATATTGCGGTTCCATATTGGCGATACTACGCATGAGGTTAGTTGTGTTTTAATAGTTCGTTCGTCATTTGTTTTGGAAGTAGACGACATCCAACCACTTAAAGGCGGGGTGGTAGCGCTGGCAGGTACCAGAGACGTCAGCGGACGGGGGGCGGTACGGTGGGTACTGCCGCGTACTCAGCCCCCACGCGCGGGCCTACCCGCGCACGTCTGCGGGGTCCCCGTGATACCCCGGGAGACCCCTGCCGTGGAGCTCCGGCTAGGCCGGGAGGCTGCTAGGTGCGGAGACGCGGAAGAATCCCTAAACGGGGATCCCGCAGCTCCGTGCTAAGCAGCTTAGAGGGTATTCGCAGGACTTTTTTAGCGGATATTATACCGTAAAGCGCCCGTAAGAGTTGCGGGATCCTTGGTGGGCAGCCACTGGGGGGGTTCGTAAGACTTGCGGGAGCCAGGTGTGAGGTCCCGTCGGCGGTGTGCCTCTTAAAGGCGCCGTCGTCTGTAAAAAGATTTTTTACCTGCGTAATAAAAAAAAAAGGTACTAGAGACGTGAATTACACACATCAAAAGTGTCTAGGGATCAAGCATTTTTATGCGGATTTCTTGAGATTGAGATGTGGCTTTGTAATAAATTTATGATTTTATAAATTTATATGGATCCTTTTTGGTGCATTTCATAATTTGAATCAGGAACTGTGAATCAAATTCGAGTAAAAGATGAAAATCAGCTGTCAATATTTTCCCTATAAAAACATACAACGCATTGAAGACATTATTAGTGCTACTGTTTCCCTACTACTGATTAAAACCAACGTTATTATGGAGCGGCGACGTCATTTAAGCAGGGAAGAAATGCTCAGAGCCGTGGGAATGATAGAAGCTGGTTCCCGGCAACGTACTGTGGCTTTAGCTCTGAATACAAGTCAGAGTGTTATCAGTCGACTTTGGACACGATACCGAAGCACTGGTACCGTGGCTGAGCGCCATGGAGGACGGTATCGCTGCACCACACGGAGACAAGACCGATACATTCAAATCTTAACTCGAAGAGCTCCAACAATAACCGCCATGATGTTAGCCGTGAGGCTTCATCACTCTTCAGGGAACTTAATTAGCGACCAAACAGTCAGAAACCGCTTGCATGAAGTGAACCTTCATTCCCGAAGACCGCTACGGGTACCACCTATAGCAATGCACAATCGTAGGATTCGATATCAATGGGCTCTTGAACACAGAAATTGGGCAGAAGAACAATGGCGTTTCGTGTGCTTTTCTGATGAGTCTCGTTTTGGTATGAGACCGGATACAAGACGTATACGACACGGGAGAACCCCTGGACGCCAACAGCGATTAAAATCCTGCCAGGAAGTCCATCCTTATAGTAGTGGAACCATCATGGTATGGGCGGGTATTTGGATCGGCGGAAGAACTGAGTTGATTTGGATCAGAGGCAACCTCAACGCTCAAATTTATGCTGAGACGATTGTAGCAGACGTCATCGTTCCTCTACAAGTGCAAATCGGTCCCTTATTTCAGTTAATGCATGATAATGCACGACCGCACACCGCAAGAGTTGTAAGACAGACTCTCGCCGCAGCTAACATCAATGTCCTGCCCTGGCCTGCTCAGTCGCCAGACTTGAACCCGATTGAGCATGCATGGGATATGCTACAGAGAAGAGCTCTGCCGAATATGGAGGGTATCCAGTCGCAAGAAGACCTTTTTTTGTTGTTGCAACGAACATGGGCGGCCATTCCACAGCGTGATTTGGATGAACTCATTTTGAGTATGCCAAACCGATGTTCTTGTGTTGTTAGTGTTCGCGGTAGAAATACGGATTATTAATTGTTTAAGTTACCCAATAAAATTTTAGAGAAAACTGTTATTTCAGTCTTTTTTTCGAACTTTTGTGTTAGTGGTTCAAATGTCAAAAATCCCTTTATTAGGAAAATGGCAAATTTCTTTATTAATGCAAAGGTGACTTGGTTTATCGTTACTGTGACAAACGAAAACACTTTATTTGATGAATCCTTAAAGAAAATTTTAATTAATATCAATCAGGAGAAAAGTTATTGCAAAAATATATGTTGATCCCTAGACACTTTTGACGTGTGTATATTTGATGCTTCATTAAGGATATTTAATCATACTTAAAAAAAATGACGTTTCCGGCAGTTAATTCAATAAACTGCGAAGAAATAACAGTTTTCAACCTTAGATGGTAATAAATATAGTTTCAAAACTTTATCACAACTCTTACAAACGATTTGTAGGTACTAGGTACAAGCAAATTTATTCCCAAGGCGAAACGCCTCGCTGTAAGCACTTACTACACGCTACACAACAACAAAGTATCAATAACGCCATTAATTCTATAACGAATGTCAGGTAACTATTGCAATTTACGCACGCTTTTAACTCTATATGCATGACGGAATTATCGGGCACCATAAGATGTGACGCCCCGTCGATTGTCAGCTAGCGTGCGTACGAGTGGTCCAAAGATACAGACGTGATAGACGCTAATGGAGGTAGTAAAGTTGCGAACTGAACTAAAGTGGGGAGTGAAGCGACACGCAAAAAAGTTTTATTAAAAATAAACGAGCTTGAAGCAGTATCTCAGTTACAGAAAATACTCATATCAAAGTGTTAAGCATTTGTAAAAGCAAATCATACCTCTGGGCTTTGAAAACCGAGGCCGAACGTAATCGCTAGCGAACACTGACTCGTTTCAAGCTTTAAAGCTAGCAATATTGTTCAATCGAATAGAAAGAATGCCTTTTGTCTTAGTTTCTTTTTAATCTTGAACGAACATTAAGAAAGCAGAATTTCTTCACTCGCCCGCAAAAATAAAGAATCCTCAAGAAATAATCAAGATAAACATTGGTGGCTATTTTTAATAATTTGGTTTATTTTAAGAGTAATTTTTATTTTCTTTCGGGTAATTAATGCTCAATAAATAGCTTACTTAGTTATTTGGAGATAACCAGATAACCCTTTATTTTTGCGAGCGAGTGTAGTATTGATGAATTCCATTCGTGCATGTTTTCTATCAAAGTTATGTATTTTTGGAGGATCTGATTTTCATCAGACGCGAGTGGCATTTACGTATAGAACAAGTTCATCCTAAATTGACCACAAAAGTCTGAGGTATTACCGATCGAAGTTTTATGCATAATAATACCACACGTCTATTTACGAATGCTGCCGATGTGATTTACAATTGTAGTTACGTGTTTGTTTGAAATCCGATTTGGAAACATGTACCTATATCTGTTTTTAGATCGTAAAATGAAATCTTAGTATTGTTTATCGTATTTGGGGACTTCCTCTTGTTGTTACTGTTAACGTGGTTCCGCTTTCGCTCCGCTCCTCGCTAATATCAAGTCTCGGTCTTTTAGTTTTGTTGATAGCCTCTCCAATCATCTGGCAATTTGTTGAGATATACCTAGAGCTAAATAAACATTTTAAGCAGCTGTTAATAATGTTTACGTGGGAATGGGAGAGTTAATTGGCAGTGCTTTATGAGCGTACGTCGCACGTGTGGTTATAACATAGTTTCTGCTCTCTGAAAACTGTTAACTTGGTTTCAGTTTACTTTAAAATCTGCGCGGGCAATAGTTGTATGTTTTAATGCATATTACCGGCAAATATATTTATTACAATTTCCTGTTTGAAAAACTTCTGTAATGTTTATATTAAATTCGTACCTACGCGGGCTACTCATCCAGTGTTTCATAATTACCTTTCTCTATGTTGATTAACTTTTAGTATTTTTAAAGTGCAGCTTGAACTTTCTAAATATGCTCAAATATTTTCATATCTATCAATCACGTATGAAGTTAATCGGTTATTATGTCTTTAAGAACGCATCTAGTTTTCTATTTTATATAAGACATACTGCGTACTATTATACTAAAATCAATTTACTTAATCATTGAGTTTAAGCATCAGTCAAATGGAAATAATATTTAACAACATCGTTATATGAATGACAAACAACTACACATTACAAAACCATGTCGTACCAAACATAAACCCGAATCATGTCATGTGAAATATGTTCTTAATGTGTTGTGATCGAATCAATCATAGTTAGATGAATGCCATACAGCAGCTTTGCCTTTCAATTAATCAAGAGTTTTGTAATGGTTGCTGAATTGACCAACATAATAATATTGCACATAAGTTCAATGATTCCATCGAAAGTTCAATCAATAATGTTGGACAAAACAAATGCGACTTTTCGCAGTTTGAATTTCGTATTTCTTTAACATTTTATTTATACAAAAGATTTGTGTGCGCTTGTACACAATCGCATGTGGTTTAACCTATTTAATCTTGCTTTGAAGGTCCCTATATTATATGTATCGGGGACTAGTTCATGTGCACACTCCCCGAAATGTAACCTGTCGGAAACACGCAGAAGCCGATGGGAGTTAAAAAAGAATTTGGAAGTTTCGAAAACTTAGCGGATACCTTACTTCAAGAATTACTGTAATAATGAATTTTGTACATGTGAGGATTAGTGTTAAATTACTTTTGTTGCCATTGAGGCAAAAAGTTGTTTACGGTAGCTTTCGATAATTCCGACTGCGATTGCTTCTTATAGAATTTGCTCTTTGTGATGGATCATTGAACGCTACCAATGTCATTGAATGGTAATGTATTGCGACGACAACAGTTGCGAGCATATTTCAATGTAACTCGTAAAATATTCGTACGGGTGGGAAATTTTAATACATATTATTTTTGCAGCACAATGATGTGAGTATGACGAACGCTGAACACACGTAACATTGTAGAGAGATTGCCTTTTTTCTTGTTTGCTTTTCATATTTCTAGTCATATTCATATATTCACGCCATATTTATCTCACGCGGGGTTGGCAAAGCATTAAATGAATAGAACCTAGGGACTGCTCTTGGTAAATAAGGATGACAGATTAGAAACTACGGGGTTGCCTACAAAACAATAGGTCTTAAGGCCAGAATCTAGATTTATAACAGATATTATATTGTCATAATAGGAAATTCATTCTTACACTCACAGTCGACAGAACTTGTTTGCTTTTAGAGTGCTTGATCACCATTCTGTTGTTGGTTACATGATAAACTGGCCCTGTGTAAAAACGAAATAATTCGCACTGTCGAGAAACGGCAGTAAGATAAAGAGCGTAAAATGGGGCAGCGCTTTATTCAGATGAGCGTTCACATAAATCGATGGGGATTTTGAAATTATAATTTGTTCTCGGAGATAGATCGCTGCGGGCGCATCGCCCACGCTTTTCTTGGCGGTGTGCATTCGATGCATAAAGCGCTTTTTCGCATACAAACGCCTGCTGGTCTGACTGTTT